TACTTCTTCAGCTCCCTGGTGTGCACCGAGTGTGTGCTCCTGGCCTCCATGGCCTACGACCGCTACGTGGCCATCTGCCACCCCCTGCGCTACCAAGCCACCATGACCACGGGGCTGTGCGTCCAGCTGGTGATCTTCTCCTTCGTGAGCGGCTTCACCATCTCTGTGATCAAGGTGTCCTTTATCTCCAGCGCCACATTCTGTGGCTCCAATGTCCTGAACCACTTCTTCTGCGACATTTCCCCCATCCTCAAGCTGGCCTGCACAGACTTCTCCACCGCAGAGCTGGTGGATTTCATCCTGGCCTTTCTTATCCTGGTGTTCCCGCTGCTGGCCACCGTGCTGTCCTACGGACACATCACCCTGGCTGTCCTGCGCATCCCCTCGGCCACTGGCCGTTGGAGAGCCTTCTCCACCTGTGCCTCCCACCTCACGGTGGTCACCATCTTCTACACAGCCATGATCTTCATGTATGTCCGGCCCCAGGCGATTGATTCCCGCAGCTCCAACAAGCTCATCTCTGCTGTGTACACTGTCCTCACGCCGATAATAAACCCTTTGATCTACTGCCTGAGGAACAAAGAATTTAAGGACGCCCTGAAGAAGGCTTTGGGCTTGGGTCAGGCTCCTCAGTATGGCAATTAAGTGTCCTAGAATAAAACAAGACTTTATCTGGAAATTTCTGCTTTTTAAATTAATCTTTAGATGAAATTTAACAAGACTACAGAACTGTGCACATGTAACGAGACTTCCACCTTTTGTGTTTTCACAAAAGGACCAGTCTCATGTAACCAGCGCCCAGCTAAGAATTCGCAGCTTCCCGCCAGCCCCCTGCGAGTCACTAACCCTGCTCCAGCAGAACCACTTTTCTGTCTTCTAACACCAGACACTAGTGTTGTCTTTTTTGTTTTTGTTCTTATTTATTTATTTATTATTGTAACATCATTGATTGTACACATCTGTGGGGTACAGAGTTGAATATCAATACCTGTGTGCAATATGTGATGCTCAAATCAGGATAATTAGTATATTCATCATTATCCAATGTAATGGTTTTCGGTGGCCCTTTACCAATTCTTCTCTTACTTCCCCTCCTCCTCTCCCACCTCTGGTAACCTCAGTTCTGTTCTCTCCTTTTGAAAGTTCAATGTATTATTGTGACTGTTGTATCTTTCTTTCATTTATGTATTTTTTAGCTCCCACTTATGAGTGAGAACATGTGGTATTTCTCTTTCTGGGCCTGGCTTATTTCACTTAACACAATTTTCTCTAAGTTCATCCATGTTGCTGCAATTGGCAGTATTTCATTCTTTTTCATGGCAGAGAAGTATCCCATTGTGTAAATATACCACATTTTCTGTATCCAGTCATCCAGTGATGGACATTTAGATTTCCTTATCCAGTTGTCTGACAATGGACAGTTTGACTACTGTAAATAGAGCTGCAATGAACATGGGAGTGCAGGTATCCCGTTGACATGATGATTTCCATTCCTTTCAATATATTCCCAGCAGTGGGATGGCTGGATCGTGTGGAAGATCTATCTGTAGTTGTTTGAGAAACCTCCACACTGTTTTCCATGATGGCTGCACCACTTTACACTCCCACCAGCAGAAGACACTAATGTTGATGTTTCATGAAGGCAGTTGTGAAGTATTCACACATTTGTGCTCAGCTTCTCTTGTTCAGCATGATGCTTGGTGAAGCCTTGATGTTTTTGCATGTAGCAATAATTCACGCATTCCCATTGCTGTCTAATATTCATATGTGTAACATAATGCATTTATGAATTTAGTGTTGATGGACAGTATTATGAATACTATTGTAGATAATGCTGCTATATGTTTTTTGATTAACATACATAGTTTTGTGAGCTATGTACTTAGCTAGACCTACATATGTATAGGCTATATCTATAATTGCTGCAAGATAAGGTATGTGTCAGTCAGTTTTAGTAGAAATGGCAAAACTGTTTTCCAAAGTAGGTGCACCAGTTCTCACTCCCACTAGCGGTACTTGAGAATTCCAGTAGCTCCATGTCCTTACCAACAATTAACATTAAAATTACTTTTTTTTTCAATTTAGCCATTCTGGGGTTGTAATGGTGTCTCATTTTAACTTAATTTACATTTTCCCAGTGACAAATGATCTACCTTTTTAATGTTGGTAGTTCATTGTCCTTTCGGATGTGCTCTTTCTGAAGTGCACATTCGTGTCTCCTCACTATGTTTATATCGAGTCTCTCTCTTTTTCTTTTTCTTTTTTTGCCTATAGGAGCTCTTGCATATTCTGGATACAAGCCCTCTGTTGGCTGTATTTATTGCAAAATCTTCTCCCAGTTTGTGGGCTTCCTTTTCATTCCCTCAACACTGTCTTTTGACGTAGAGAAGTTATTTTATTTTAATGGCCAGTGTGTACATTTTCCCCTTTGTAGTTATTCATTTTCTTTTTTTTTTTTTTTCTTTTTGTCTTTTTTTGTGTCCGGCAACGGATTGCAACCCTCAGTGTCACGCCCGTACTGGACCGGGACTGGCAACGGGATCGCAATCCTCGGTGCTGCGCCCACACCTCGCTCAGCCAGTGAGCAGGAACCGGTCTGTATGTGGGATCCGAACCCTCGGCGGGAGCGCCACCGCGCTCCCAAGCGGCGCACTGTAGCAGTGCGCCACCGGGCTGGCCCGTAGTTATTCATTTTCCATTTAAAAGATATTTGCCTTGCCCGGGTCATGAAGATATTGTCCTGTTTTGTTCTAGAGGCTTTATTGTTTTATCTTCCGTGCTTAGATTTGCAGCCCATCTGAAATTGATTTTTATTTATGGTATGAGATATGGGCTGAAATTCATTCTTTTCTATATGGACATGAAATTGGCCCAGCGCCCCACCCACCGTTTATTGAAAAGATCACACTTTTCCTTCTGGAATGTCACCCTGTTCATAGACCACGTGACTGTTTGGACTCCCCTCTGTTCCATTTCTCCATTTGTCTATTCCTGCACCAATAGCACACTGTTGCAACTACTACAGCTTTTCATATACCTTGATGTCTAGTAGTATGTCCTCCATGTTAGTTCTTTTTTTTTTAAGACTGCCGTTGTTACTCTCAGCCCTTCCCAAATGGGAGGATATACATTTTAGACCCAGCTTGCTCGTTTCAGCAAAAGAAAAACCTGTTGGATTTTTATTGGGATTGTGCTGCATCTATAAATCAATTTAGAGATAAATGGCATCTTCACAATTTTGAGACTGTTAATTCAAGACCAAGACATTTCCTCTCCACTTACAACTTCAATTTCTCAGTGCCATTTTGTCATTCTCGGTGTAGGGGGCTTTCACATCTTTCTGGGTATTTGAAGTTCTGTTTGTTTGTTTTTTTTAAATTTTAACACGAATGGTATCTTTTTAAAAATTTCATTCTCTGTTCCTTTTTACACTCTTTAAACTTTCTTTTTGAAATAATGATAGATTTAAAGGAAGTTGCAAAGAAATGTACAGGGAGGTCCTATGTGCCCACCACCCAGTCTCCCCCAGTGTATCATTTTGCACAGCTACAGTACAGTATCCATACCAGGAAACTGGCTTTGCTAAAATCTACAGAACTAATTCAGATTCTACCAATTATACTTGCACTCATGTATGTGTGCATGTGTGTGAGTGTGTGCATAGTTCTATGCTATTTTGTCACCCATGTAGGTGGCTTTGGTGACTACCTCCATAATCAAGATACAGAACATTTCCATCACCACGAGCTTCCCTCATGTTATTGCTTTTTTTTTTTTTTTTTTTTTTTTTTTTTTTTTTT